CTGAACCAGAAAATAAAAGGTGTGTACCAAGGGACAACAGATTTGAAGGCTTCACAAACTGTAAGCAAATATTATTTCACATGCATTAATTATATGGCTGCAATTTATGAGTATTTTCATTACTTATTTATAGTTTAAAATTATATATGACAGAGAAAAGCAGTAAATCTTCTCTTTCCCGTGGCTGATATTCGCTAAAATTTAGAATTTTGATGTAAAAAGTTGATCACTTTGTGTTGTTTGAGCTGCTCATTGTAGGCATAGATTATTGTTTTTGCTGGTATTTTTTTCAACTTTTTCTCTTCTTACTAAAACTGACAATAATATACAGAGGTCCAGGTATTAGAATCCATGTGCCAAATAAAAATAAACCAAATTTATGATCATATGTATTTTTTGGTGATGCATCCATCTATTTCCGTAGCTGTCACAAGGTGCAGGAGTCCCTGCTGAGTTCAGCCAGTGGCTACAGTAACTACAGAGGAATCCTCAACTGGTGTGTGGTAATGCTGGTAAGACGTACCCTAAGTGTACAGACACACACATACAGTATAGAGAAATACATTCACTTGCACATGCACCCATGTGTTGTACACATAAAGATAAATGCACTGTATATATGAAGATACATTCAAAAACTCAAAATTGTCTAAATTTGTAAGTTTAGTGTTGTAGTAGACAGGCCCTGTTATATTGGCAAATAAAAGAAAGAGAGAAAGAAAGTACATAAAATAAAGAAGAATTAGATTGTTCTAAATATCCAGCTGTTTTTCATGGGTCTGATTCTGTGTCAAATCTGGTTTCCTGCCAGCTTAACCTCACTGCAAACAATTACTAGTCTTATTAAGGTTTTATAAAGACTTGTCAATCACATCCTAAATTAAATATGTTACAGTGCAGGCAGGTCCTGCGTGGAGTTTAGAAATAAAAGTATATTTCAAGAAAAGCCACCTCAAAAGTCATATTGTTGGTAAATGTGAATTTTCTCAAAATATCAAATAATGGGCAATAAGCACGTGTATGCTAACCTTGATATCTTGTGCAGCGTTCCCTCGTGGGAGAAGTGACGGAGTATAGAATATGGGCTTGTTAAGCCTGATGTTAATCCAGGCCTTGAATGCAGATTTTTGTGTTCATTGCGGGAGGTTTTTCTTCATTCTCACTGAATTTCTCTTCCATCTGCAGCCATAGAGCCTTTGTGCTGGGTAATGAGATATTACAATCCATTTGGAAAGAAGGCGAGTGAGGAGGGGAGACAAGGAGAATGATGGGTAGAGGAGAAGAATTGGGGTGAGAAGAGGAAAAGAAATGGGGTATGCAGGGAGAGAAAGCAGGGACAATGGATGTACCCTTTTATTCAGGAATAGGAAGAAGTGTCTCCGAGAATGATGAACGCAACATAAATATGGAGAAAGGAATAGGGAGTGTTTTGTAACAAACAGAAACATGTAGTCTAGCGAGACAGTTAACATCTTATTTTGTCATTTTTGTTACAGGTGCTGAGTAATGCTCGCCTTTTCTTAGAAAACCTGTTAAGGTGAGTAAGTTTGGATGCAAATTATTTTGTATGCCTCTGCTCCGGCGACAGCCATGGTCGGTTTGGCACATGCACTTGGATTCAACAACGATGTGACAAAGATTTCTATCAGTCCTCTGTTAAAAATAGTCTCTAAGTGAAGAAATTAGTCACTAGAATCATAAATGTCAATGTAACGATAACTTCCATTTTGCGAAAAAATACACTTAACATCTTATTAAATTCCCTCAAAATATAATTCAACCATGAGGCTAGCTCTAGTTACCATAAATTACCAGTTATTTTAAGAAGCTTCTTGCAGTGCTTTTACTCCCAGCGATTATGTTGATGTATACCAGACAGAAAAAAACTATTTCTTAAAAATGTTACAGGCATCTTCCTCCTCCTACAGAGTGCATTAACTAATCCTTAATTGGCTCTCTTTTGACCGTAGAGCTTTTTTTGTGACCGACAGTTTGACATGTCTTAGCACAAAAAGCACAGGTGGTATTGATACAACCTTCATGACTGCGTTTCCACTGGGAGTGGGCTTAATGGAACTGAGCCATTGTTAATGGCTCCTGTTATGACAAATCAGAATGTCTCCTGTAAAGCTCTATAAATAAAAAACCAAATTATACTAGTGCTGGAGTCACTTGTAAACAATTTATGAAATTTAAATGATCCATATAGTAAAAATGCACACAGTGTATAGTTCTTTAATATTTCAATAAACATTTACTTCTTTGATTCATTTTAAAATCAATACCTGTATTTACACATGCTTCCTAATATAAATTTCTCTTTTTTAATGGGCCGTTTTCTTTCCTATTTTGTATGTTTTGTCAGGTACGGTGTGCTGGTGGATCCTATTCAGGTGGTTTCATTGTTTCTGAATGATCCCTACAGCTGGCCAGCAGCATGCCTGGTGATTGGTAGGTAACTGTTTGTGCAGCTTTTCAGTAAAGCAAAAAGATGTACCTTAAATGTCAAGACCATGGAAAGCAAACAGAATTTTGTGATGAAGATGAAATTGTGGAATGTAAATTTGATTGTTTATAAATATTTGGTATTGATTGTTTGATTTGGGGAGGAACGTTATGTTGTGGAAAACAAGTATTAGTAGTAGTATTGCCAGTGCCGTGGTATAATGTCCACTAAAAAGGAAAAAAAAATATGAAAACCAGAATAACCAGTTTTATGAAACAGAGTGTTCAGATATCTGATATGACAAGCATCTGAAACATACAGCATGTGTAAATAAAAGTCTAAATATATGGTTTTATTGACTGTAAATTATAATTATTGTAGATAATTTGCTTAAAAAAGCTGATTTTAAAGCAGTGATCCTGTTTTTTCCTCTTTAAATAGTGCAGGTGGCCTGTTCTGCCTCATTTCAAACCATGCCAAGTTTTAGCACAAAGGCATATGCTATGTTAAGAGTTTTCTTTATTTTTTCATGGTACTGTATGTTGCAGGGAAAGCCTGCAGTGGTGCAGCTCACAGTGTCTCTAGAGGGACAGTCACCTGCCCTATATACTGTACTGCACACTTGCA